TAGATTCAATATGAAACTCTTACTAAAACAAAATAGTGATCATAATCATGCTGAGGCTGTGTAGTTTTAAAAGTGTTTAATTTATGTTGACTCGCGCATATGATTCGCTCCGTGCGATCGGGTCTCTGGACCAGTCAAAGTCTGGATCAGACTGTGCGCGCTGCCAACGTGACAACGTGAAACCAGACCTCATTTGCACCAATCGAAGGCATATTTTCACTGTCTGAATCCTTCCCTATCACCTACATTGTGCACTACGTGCCATTCACTGTACAGGAAATACTACACTGCGAACAAGCGACCGATCTCAGCGCAGCTTCAGCGTCTATTTTTTAGTGTAGGGGGCGGGCGCTTCGGATTCTAGAGAGCATTTGATTGGTCAGAAGATTTGATAAGAAGCTGAAGTACGAGGTGACGTCAAACAAATCGTTGATCCATTTTGGCGGAAGTGACGAACTGCAAGCTTTGAATGCTTTTATCTTCTAAACCCGAATTTAGTCACTGTTTCGGAGCACACTGGCTTATAGATAACCTTAAGACGAACATATTGATACGAACACCCAAAAAAAAAAAACTTTCATTTTGATTTCATGAGGACTTTAAGTATTTGACTCTGGAATTGTAATCGATTTTCGATTCCCAACCCTAGCAGAAAGTGATCTGGCATTGCAAACTTGAAGCGTCGCACCTGGTTAAGAGAAACGGTAGGCCACGATATTTGGCATGTTTCTGAGCTGGTGATTGGCTGGGCAACAGAAAGCAGCAGCCAATGAATAAGCAGAGAGTTACTCTGCGAGAACTATAGCACACCAGGACCACGAGCAGCATCAGGATGTGACTCTAGTCTCGCTTCTGAACCGATCAGATATTACAGGCACTGAAGATGAGCAGTGAGTGGACACCTGGCAAACACCTCCTGAGTCCTGAACCAGAGAGAGATCATCCATCTGACGGAGCAACATCTCCTGAGGAGCCTGATCTCTGGGGCCACGCTGTCAAAACAAGAAAGAACTGTTTAACAACAACAGCTGAATCATATATATATATATATATATATACACACACACACACACATATATGCACACAAAGTCTAACTTATTCACTTCACATTTAGTAAGAACAGGCATGGCATTAACACGAATGAAATTATTAGATATATATTTTTTGTTCATTTTTAAGACCCCCTCTCTTGAATCAGGCATGTATTTTTTGCTGTTTTTTGCAGCAGGCTGAGCAGAAGAGAATTTTTAAAACATTAGAAAATATTTCAGATCCCACAGATACAAATCTATTACAGATTTGCACACAATGTGTGAATTTTATAATAAATGTATTAATATAGCTGTTGTAATTAGTATTGTCTTTTCCATTTTATTTCACAGAACAGTAAAATTACAATACTAACATTTATGAATGTTGATGGAGCTTTTATTCCCCAGGAAGACCGCGGTGCTTCTTTTTGTTGATATTACAGGAGATTTATAAATGATTCTCATTAAGAACTTGGGAAGACGTTTGTTGCATGCATCACATTGTCACATGCCTTGTAAAAACTCATAAAAATGTTTGAGCACCTGCTGAGTAACGCTGTCTCAGCGCAGAAGTTCCTCGCGCTTTAGACTCTGAACCCCCAGAGCTCGCGCAGCGCTGTTTGAACACATGCAGTTCTCGTGCGTGTATTAGAAAACATTCTGCAGTTTATTTACTAATTGTTTTAAGGCCATTTGGTGATTTCAATCATCATACAGTAGCCAGCAACAGCCACCTCTTCTCATCGGAGACATGCGATGCAGCACTGAACAGTCTCTCGCTGTCGGCGCTTTAATGATTTAGTCTTTTTCGGACACTTTTAAATGCTTCCACACTGCAGACGCGTGCGCCTCTATTTGATCGCGTCACATCATTGTTCGGTACTATTTATTCGGCTGAACACCGAAAGTGTTTTTTTGTTGCTGCTATTTTCGGCCGAACATTCGGTGCATCCCTATACTTTTTTTTGTAAGCTTTTGTTGTGTTGCAAAAATAAGAGCACAGCCAGAAACGCACAAGGACTCGGTTTTTTTAATCGTCCATGCTTTATTACGTTCACATGCACCCCTACAACATATTACAAAATAAACCTACACAGATCGTCGAAATCCATCGACAGTAAATCATTATCAGTTGCTTGGCATAAAGCACGTATTCGTGGATCGCGAACTGCTCTGAAACAGCGAGCAGCGCTCACATTTAAAGTTTAATTATCCCATTAGTACGCATTACGATTCGTGTTTTTCAGTCCCCAAATTTAAGACCTCTAAAATGATACTTAAGGCTTTTGTTCTACCGTTGAAGAGAATTTATGGCTTTAGTCAGTGGATCAAACTCATGCACGTGGTCACATATAGTCGAGGCATTTCCCAACACTGAACAGAGCTCGGTGTTCGATTAATGTGCGCCAAATATTGTTAGAGAAGTATATTACGCATGGAATGATAAATCATATCAACATTTTCCGTGAAACCCAAGCGTTATGTCTCACTCACATGTCTCTGCTGCCGCACTCCTCGTCGCTCCGAACCGGAAGAGACCGTCCAGCCTGCGCGTGTCCCTGACGTCACCCTTTCACCGGAAGAGCCGCCGGAGCGGCTACTGCGCATGCGCACATCAATATAATTCTGTTTTTACATTATTGTAAGGGGTAGGTTTAGGGTTGGGGTAGGTGTAGACGTTAATAAAACACAATCTAATAGGTAGAAAATGTAATTTATTGTTAGTTTCCGGCCGTAGCTGTATCCCTTTAGCCACAAGAGCCTTTAAGATTAGCTAAAGGTTTACACTTTTTGTTACAGCCATAATATTTCTTGATAGATAGATGGATAGATAGATAGACAGATAGATAGATAGATAGACAGACAGACAGATAGATGCAGAGGTCGTGATCTCCCTGTAATAAGAACATCTCTGGAGCCTTCTTTCCCTTTTTGTACAAGTTTTACAACAGCTGGCATCTGATGTTTTTCATATTGCCCTCTATCCTTCCTATTTACTGTAAAATGAACTTCTCACATAACTTAAAAACATTGATCGCATTGTCCTGTCGAAGGTTTCCCATCATGTGAAGTCTGCTATATGCCCCATGCTCAGCCTGCATATTATTACCTGTTATTTGTTAGCTCCCTTATCACTTAAAATATCTACTGTTTTTTTTATTGAGTGTACTTGTCTCCCTTTTGATTTTTGACATTTTCTCTTTTGACTGCTTCCTTTGCCAGTCTGTCTGTTTTCTCATTTCCCAGAACACCTGAAAGCAATGTTTTTCCATGACTATCACGACTATTCAGTAAGCAAGGTTTCATAAAGCGGGTCCCGATGGTTTCTGGCCAGATACAGAATCACTACATAACAAATAAATAAATAAAACCCACTCTATCATGGTAAAGCATTCGAGAGTGTAAACACTGAAACGGTCTGATGTGATTTTACTGAAATCCACTCTCAGGAAAACCAGCACCCATCACATCTGTTTGCAGATCTTTTGATCCATCTGTGAAAATCTGAGTATTGTCTATTTCCTGTCTCTATATATTTTTTTATTATTATTATTATTATGCTTCCATTTACAACAAACAAACAAGGTACATAAACACATCACATAATCTAACAACACGCGAACAGCCTTAGGTTGAGCATAACCAGTGACAAACAAGATCACAATCCAACCAATAATAAAGAAGAAAAGAAAAGAAATAAATAGAACAAATAAAACAAACCAAAAGGGGTTTTTTACCTTAGTTTATACATGCCCCAAAAACGAAATCAATTTGAGAGCTTTCTTGTTTTTAACCAATTCTAAAGATTTGCACAAAATTTTAACCTCATTCATCATTTGCTGTCTGTATATCTATAGTATTCATTTGTTATATCAGCAACCAGACTGGCTTTACAGGCCTCGCCACAGTTCATAGTCCTTTATTACCTTATACCATATCATATGTACATCACATCGTAAGGGAATTATGAGGATTTTGGACAGTATAGTATCATTTGTACTTGTAAACTTACCCTGGTATGTTGCATAACCTGCTTTCTTCCCTGAACTCAGAGAAACAGGAAGACGTGACACTCACTCAGATCAGTGGCACATATGAATGAACTGCACTCCAGTGCTTTTAGTCATTCAGATGGACTTTTCTTCTGGACTACAGCAGGCAAACTAACACACCACACTAGGCATACAGAGACAAGGGCAGGTTAACCCCAAAAATTATACACGTAACACCACATGGTTTAGACCAGGGATCCTCAAATCTGGCCCACAAGATCAATGTTCCTGCAACAGTGTTGGGTTGGGGAAAGTTACTTTTAAAAATAATGCATTAAAACATTGCGGTTTGTTTTTAATATAAAAAAGTTATTCTTTTACAAATGTAAAAGCCCTTTCACAACAAAAGTGAAATGAATGAGCCTCAGGCTTGAAGGAAATGTAAATTCACGTCTGTACAGTAGAGGGCGCAGGAGAGGAAAGTTCAACACTCTTCAGCAATAACAAAAATCATGTTTAGTACGGTTGAATTTAATCATCGAAGGTCAGTAGCAGAGACATTGGTTAATAAAATGGGACTGAAATACATAAATTGTATTTGTCTTATGAAACATATTTAATTATTGCAGGTTTGTATAATATTCCGAGTTTGCATTTGACTGTTTTTATTCATTTTGAGGAACACTGAATCTGTTTCTGTGCAGGTGAGATGAGTAAATAACATGTTGATATTTAGTCTAGAACTACAGTAAGATCATGTTCACACACAACGCTCTGCACTTACTCCTGATTTCTGTCACCATGGCAACACCGGAGCTGTCAGTCAATACATGGAAACAAAGTAACTGCTGTTACTTGTTTGAAAAAGTAACTCAGATATTTCCTTCTAAATTAAGAAGTAATGCCTTACTTTAAAAAAAGTAATCTGATAACGTAATGCGCTGTTCCTGCAGAGCTTGGCTCTTGTCTATCAGTGTCTTCAGGATCATTAGAAAATCACAGGTAAGTGAGTTTGATCAGGGTTAGAGCTAAACTCTGCAGCGCATTGGCCCTCCAGGACAAGATTCGAGGAACCCTGGTTTAGACAGCTGCACTTATGCACACTTGTAAAAAACATTTCTTAACTTTTTCTATTTCTTCAAAGTCTGCATGGGCAACATTTAACAATAGACAACACCGTTGTTAACTACATAAAATGGAAATTTTATTCTGAAAGCTGGCTTGAGTACAAACAGTAAAGCACACTGGCATGCAGCTCAAGTCCTTTACAAAATCTACATCTGGAGATGTTTCACGTTGTTGAAATATTGAACAAAACCGCACTTAGCTGAAAAGTGTACTTCAGTATTAAAGAATTTTCTACTTCAGACACGATACTTATACTTCATGTTAAACTATCCGTTAACCCCCAATGTTAAGCATTTAATTAAAAATAGTTAAAGCAAGCTAAAAGATCAAACAAAACACATAACACTGCTATGATAACAATAAATATGGAAAAATATGTTTTGTACAGTACTCATCTGTATAGCATACGTTTACCTCAGAGAGAGGAAATAGATTTCTAAATGCATTCTTTCAAACTGTGCTTCTATTAATCCCTTTTCTGAATCGTCCTAAAAATGTTAACACTATGTGAACTGAACACCTTGTTAGAGCAAGATGCATAAAACACCAGGTTTCCATAAGCATAAAATAACAGTAAAAATACCTTAACACAAGTGTTTCGTATGAATGAGCTGTTCAGTCAAGTCCCTTTAGGGCCGAACACACACTGTTGGGCTGAGGCTTGAAGGATGTGAAGTGAGAGGTAATGTTATATACTACAAATGCAATTCCCTTTCCTATTTCTTTCACGCTATCCCTTTTTCTCCTCTTCCCCTCATTCTCTCCTTTCTCATTGCACTGTTAGCACTTGGATTTGAGACAAAGTCATGTCCAAACACATCCTATGTAAGGCATAAATGTTACAGCAGCAGCACAGTCCACATCAAACACACCACATAAATCAAAAGAGGAATTAGAAACAATAACTACACACATTAAAAATAGATAGTGGTTAAGATCTTTCTGCAAAATGAGAAATGAGAAATGTATCCCTCAGGCACTGATGGTTATTCCTTATATTTAGTGTTCACCTTTCTACACCTATATTTCACTGAATGTGTGTCTCTGTCAGCAGACACAGTAAGGGAAATGTATGAGGCGATGCATTAGTGTACCGAAACTAAATGTGCAAGACTGTATCAATGCACAGAAAATAGAGAAAGCTCTGTAGTCAAGTGTGGGAGTTTGTCAGTATCTATGTAAGCCATTTCTCAATGCAGGTTTTATAAACGGTTTCATTGGAGTGCCAGAAGACGTGAGCGACACCTGCCATCGAACACAGAACCAGATCTCCTCGAGCGTACAGCGTCTTCAGCCCGAAGAAGTCCATCAAAAACACCTGGAAAACAAGCCAGAGTCATGAGGAGGAGCTGTGTGAAATGACCCGTCCAGATAAATCTGAGGGCACTGTCCTGTCGTGAGTATGAGGTCCTGAGTGCTTTGGACCAGCTGGCTTTCATTAAGGATATCTCTGTATTTTCTGGAGTCCAACTTTACATGCAGGGACAGAACAATATCAGACAGTCATCAGTTTCACTCCAGCTGTTAAGAGCTCAGCTCCCTGATTTATACACATGTAGAGGAAACATCAACAATTCTCACTCTTTCTCTCTATATATTATACACATTAGTGCTGTCAATCAACTAAAAAAAATAACTACCTAAAATCGCAAATTTTTCTGAAATTAATCCCACAAAACAATACATTTTTATATTGCAATAATTTCACATTCAATCTTCAAATTAATGTAGAAACAACAAAGACAGTATATTTTTAATATTTGTTTAATGGCATCTTTTTTTTGGACTGAAGGCGAGTATCACTGATACTAATACTACTGATGTCTCCAGGACATCAGATTTATAATAGATTTTTTCCCCCTAATATTAAAGCAGTAAGCCCCGTGAATTTACAGTGAATTTATAACAGCTAAGGGACGTTGTTACGACACGAAGTGGAGTGCCTAAAACCCCCTTAACTGTTATAAATTCACTGTAAACCACGGCTTCACGGGGCTTACTGCTTTTATAAAACGGTTATTCCATATACGTAGTAAGGTTTCACAAAATAAAACAGAGCAAATAAAGTGTAATGATAATAAAAACAGTATTCTTCCGCCAAACAATGTAGTTCCTCAGAAACAGTTGTGGTTGCAACAAAGTGGTTGCCGAGCAACAGACAAACGTAAACAAAGGTGTATGTTTGTAGAGTAATTTACAACAGCTTCGAAGCGGCTCAGCCAATCAGAATCAAGCACCGGAACTCTCCGTTTTATAATTAACCATTAACTATAGCAATTCAACATTACAGTACAATTGAGAGCTATCCATTTGAACATTTATTGTTTTTTTTGCCATTTTTTGACTATGATGATAGGACAGTTTAGAGTTGATCTGACACGCACACTCATAGTTTCTTTCACGCTTTAATATGAAATGATAAAGGCTACAGCATGCGTCATCATATGTGTCCGTGCAACTGAAAAAGTGAGCGAGGCAGCAGTTGTGAGTGGGTGGCTCCGCCCCTGCATTAGCTGTGCTAAATATTTGTAACACTGTTAAACTGGAAAAATTATTCGCCTACGTTAACGCGCTAATTTTGATAGCACTTATATATATATACACACATACACATCGTATTTGTTGTCAGAGTCAGAGGACACATTACTCTGGACTTACAAAGAAATTAAATGATGCTTACTTTCTGGTTTTTCATCTCAACGACTGTTTCATTCTCATCGTAGAAACCAAACTGACTGAAAAGCAAGAAAATGAGGCATCATAAAAATCTCATCACAACAAATAACGGAAAATAGCCATTACATTTCAAGCTTCTATGAATCTGAGTTGCAGACGACTAAACTGACAAGTGGTTTAACCAACCTTGACTGCCACGGAGTGATGACTCCATCATCAGCTCCACCAATCAGCACCAGCTTCTCAATGTGCAGGAAGTTCTGTTTCCAAGCTGTGCAAAGACAATACTACATCACAAACACTTTCTCCTGGAAAAAAAGGAAGTCAGCTCTGGCACTCTAAACCAAAGAAATCGCAATCACCATCCTCTGACAGAAAATATACTTCTTAGCTAAACGCAGGTGATGTGATCCGTCTCCTCACCAGTAGAGTTGGGATTTGCTCTCTCATTGTTCAGTAAGGCCAGATAGTCGCTGCTGTTGATGTACATGTCTCTGTGATGAGGGTCTGGAGACAAAACAAACACTGAAACATCACCGCATGTCTCCTGATACCATAGAGAAACACTAGTCTTCTTAATAATACCACAATTGTAACAAAAATATAAGCACTCAATGTATGACCAGGGCTACAGTGTTTGAGCGCATTGTTATTTGTTTTTCCGCTTTTCCGCGGCAGGGCCGAATGGTTCGAAGAACGGTAAGAAATGCTTAGTTATATTTCCACTTGAGCTTAGTTCAACACAGCACGATTACAAACTGTTCTCGGCCTGGAATTGTAAAATCGAATTAGTTGGGCTTACTTAAAAAACTTGCCTTAAAAAAAAGCTAAGTACAGTGAAATAGGACTAGTATGTTGTACTGACAAATGCTTAGTTACACGAGAGTTCTAAAAAAGAACTTTAGGGGGAACTTGATCCTTTACTTTAGGTTTACTCATGACTCAGTATAGCTACTCACTGACTCCCAGGGTGCATTGCGGCATGAATAAATGATGCAGTTGCTTTGTTTTACAGCTGTTGTTTTCATTTGCCAATTTTATTTGCCGTCTTGTGTCAGTAGTAGCAAAACAAAAAGAGCAAATAAAATGGTTATTGTTACAATTAATAAAAAATAAATGAAATTGAATTGTTACCATTGTTGTGATTCGCGTGTGACTCGAGCATATTACCACAAATATTAAAGGATTATAGCAACACAATTAAAAGCTTCTCAAGATGTTTATGAAAAACAATGACACTTTTAAAGATCATTAATAAACACAAAAATACACTAATGATTTCATTAGAAGATAGGTCACCTTCTAAAAGCAACCAATTTATTACTTTTCTTCCTTTGAAATCAAATAACTGATTTCATGATGCAATGCTGCATCAAGAGGAAGACAATTATAGTAACATAAACAAAGTTCCAAGTGCCCAACCAAAGGGAACACTAATCACTATAATGATGAGTTAAAAAAACAAGAACACATTTTAGGAAAATCAACATCAATTGAATATGAAGTCAGCTTATGTGATGTTCTCTCAAATATTTCAGTTGTATTGAGAATTCAGCATTCAAGATGACTTTGGGAAACGAGTGAATGCAACTAGTGAAAGATAACTGCAGACATGGAGGAAATGGGTGAAAAGTCTATTAAGACGCTTTTTCTTTTCTTCTTCTGTTGTTATGTTGCACATTAGCAACATATTAGTGCACTGCTGCCTCTCACTGGTTTATTAACGTCATTGGTTCCTTTGTGGCTACTTGAATATTTTAAGTAAGTGTCACTCAAAACAGTAAGTAAATTGTTTTATTTGCCTTGAAAGTAGCTGCAACTTAATAAAACCTAGTATGTATAACAACTAAGTAAAGAAAACTAATTCAATCTAAGAAAGGTAAACTATTAAGTTTACCTTAATAGTTACTAAGTACTATTTGGTTGTTGGTGGCATTTTGCCCCAAGCCCCATTAATGGTTTACCAGCATGATTTTCTGATCATTCATCCACTCACCATTCCAGTAGTTACAGATTGATATTTTCTGGCCCACTGCAGTATAGCACACATGATACAAGTTGGATTTGACAAACTGAGGGAAGAGGTACTTCAGATAGTCCGTGTCTACAAAAGAAGAGCAAATATGAAACCAGAGCAAAACCAGAAACCCTCAATGAGACGAGGCATTTCAGTTCAGTGTTTAACCAGGAGCACAGTCTGTACAAGTGTTTCTGAGCAAAACTGAAGAAAGTGTGTTACCTCCATACTGCCCCGCCTGCGGAGAAGACAGAGATATGAAAGAGTGCACATTATGGTCTGGAAGAGTGGACAGGATTCCTCGACACACCAGGCCACCTGCAACAGATTCAGACATGCCCTCGCTTTAACCTTTATATAAGCCAAGGTCATGCTTAAACAAAAAACAACAACAAAAACCAAGAGTAAGAGCAAAATGCAAAAATAGCAGTAAAATATTTGTATACAAAGAAAACTTTCAAGAATATGGCCAGGTCAAATTCACAAAAGATTCCAACAGAAAGTTAGATTTAGCCTCTGATGCTCCTAACTTCTGGATCACACTTGCACTCATAGGCCACCAAACACACGGAGTGTAACATTTTCAATCAAATTAATCTACTACATTTTACTACTTTAATATTTTTTCATTAAGATTTTGTATTTGCAGGGGACTTTACTAAACGATATTTGTGTTGCGTCATAATTATACACAATTTATTTATATTTAAAATATATTTTCAATATTTGTATTTTTTCCCCCCCATTAATGCCGTTTTTAAGATTAAAACAGAAAAAAAGGCATTTAAAATCAGTGTGAAGAACTATCTGGACAGAAAATGATATCCATATGTAATACCATTCTGTAACCACTAGAGGCCTGTATAGCTCTGTATAAATATATATATGTACAGTATGTACAGATGCTGTGCGTCTATTTTGCACTCATAATGTTTAGAGTTTCACTCCATCTGTGTTCACATAGCAAGCAGCACAAAAGTCACCAAGTTTCAGACCATTCCAATTATGAATGAATGAATGAAATAAATAAAAATATCTAAATGTACATTTTTCAGTCAAAAGTGGACAAGAAGCATCGGAGGGCTAAACAAAATGAAAACTATTTTAAGACCATTAAAATGTTTGTATTGTGATATTGTTGTACTTTCCTGACAATTAAGCACAATTACCCAAATTCACATTACTTTAATGCAAAACTGTAGCATTTAAACACAGAAGTATAATCTGTATTTTTTATTTCATCTGATTTATTTATACTGAAGACACACAAACAGAATTAAACGCATATACAAAAGCATGTAAATGAAAGCATATGCTGAAAGTACATTTACAGTGTAATCCACTATTTTGTAGAGAGGGTCAAAATGACAATTTTCACCTGAGATTGGTAGATTGGTAGGTCTATTGGTAAAATCTGTTGACTTTAGCTATCTTTGTTGCATTATATCACAAATAAGTCATAAATAAAGATTATACTTCTAGAGTTACATGCACAAACTTTGGAAAAAGTATATTTGTGGCACTCAGTTATGTTCTATGCAATTGTTTTGATTGATGGAAAGAAGATATATTTAATCAGCATTTGTTCTTGAGACATTCCTCTTTAAAACAAAAAAAAAAGTATCATCTGAATGCAAAGTGACCCATGTTTAGTTTTTGACCACTGAAAATGTGTACAACTGAACAATTTACTCAAGGAGCCACACTGAAATCCCTGTATCTCTGGAAATGAAGCATACAGGGCCTTAACAATTAAGAACAGGGACATTGAGATAGCTTCAGTACTTCTTGAGTTAAAGGCATGCAGACTTCAGGAGAAAAACAAAACAAAATGAAAGAAAAACTTTTTTTCCCCATTTTTGAACTGTCACCATTGTCATGTAATGCAACAAAGATTACTAAAGTCAACAGATTTTACTAATAGACCTACCAATCTCTGTGTAAAAACAACATGATGCTGTTTATAATAATAATGATGCTGCCATCTTTATAAGATTGTTTTTATCCCCTCACCTCCAAATCTCAGGTGAAAATGGTCATTTTGGCCCCTCTCTACAAAATAGTGGATTACTCAGTAAATATACAGTAATATTTTGGCTTTCCACTTCATGTATTTCTTTCAAATCTAAACAAAATCAAACATTTGAGACGGGGACCTTTGTTTTAGTTAGTCCTGGTCCTGTCTAGTGTTTAATACAGCTCCTCCAGCCGTGCTTAAACCCCAGCACAGCAACAGATAAAAAAAAAAAAAAAAAGTTGTTTCTTATCACTGCTCAGCAAACCATAGCGTAACGTCATGATGTTGCAAAGAAGCATGTGGTGCACATCGAGCTTAACAACGGCCTCTAGCCGTGCGTATATTCACAATATAGCACACAGCTTAACACTATTTTGTGAGCTACAAACCTTGTGAGTAGCAGATGAGGTGGACGCCATCAGCTGAGTTCTGCATGATGGGATATATGGCTTCTGTAAAGCCCTCCACCTGCTTCCAGAGCGGCTGCAAGCTGGCGCTGCGGTCAAACAGGTCTAGGACAGTCACATTAGTGCCCGGGTGAGACTGTCAACAGACAACACACACGCATCAGTTACAGATCACCAGACAACACACACACGCATCAGTTACATATCACCAGACAACACACACACATCAGTTACAGATCACCAGACAACACACACACGCATCAGTTAAAGATCAACAGACAACACACACACATCAGTAACATATCACCAGACAACACACACAAACAACA